AACTACAGAGGGAGACTCTGCCTCAAAAAACTAAAAAAAAAATTGTTTTCATTGGCCAGGACTGGGCAGGAACTCCACCTTTAGATATGCTTGTCTGTGTGTAAAAACTCAGCAGCATCCTGGTCCCACAGGGCCCACTCTGTCCCACAGAGCATCCTGCACTCTGAATCCTGCTCTTCACCTGTGTTAGTTCATCAGTCTTCCACTGGCCCTCAGCCAATGGCACAAGTGGAGCTGAAGCTCAGAGAAGTGACATAGCTCACGAAAACTCACAGCAAATCAGGGGAGAGTAGCATCTTACATACTCATGAACCTTACATACCTGTAAACCCTGGGCCTCCTCCACCAGCCCCTCACCTTCCTCCTGGTCCCCTCTGTGCATGAAGCAGGGTCTGAGGGGCACAAGGGCCAGGTGTTCGCTCCGTGCAGCAAAGAAAATTGTACCCACAGGGGACAGCCCTTCTTCCATGTCTCCCATGTCACTCAGAATCCATGGACTCTGGGCTCTCCATAATATCTTCATGTTTGTTTTGGTACAAACGTGACGTCCTTTCTCCCTTTTCCTGGAGTGACGTGGATTCCTCCAGAAGTTGTTTCCCTGGTAGGAATGGCATAGACCATACAAGTCACCCACTCATCTTGCGGTTTGTTCACTCTCCAAGTGTGCATCAGAGCCTTGTCACTCCCAGAACGAGTGTCATTCCTCACCGTGTGCTGGCCAGGAAGGGCCTCCGGGTCTGAGGTCCAGCAGGAGCAAGGCTTTGCTGTAGGGGGTGCTGGTGACTCAGGGTGGGCCTGGTGGCCACAGGAAGCCAGGCCTGGAGGCTGTGGTGGCTGCCCACTGTTGTGCACACCTCAGCAGGACTTCCAGCCCCAGCCCCTTTGGATTTACAAGAAGTCTCAGTGTGGTGCTGCTCCAAATTTAACACCTAACCTTCGCCAGTCTCCCCTTGTTAATGAGAAAAATTGGAGGTAGAGGCCCAGAGCCCCCAGCAGGCTGCACTTCCAGGCTGGGATTTATGGGTGCTGTTCTGTTTTCATAGTGTTGATTTTTACAGTTACCCTCTATTTATGGCGAGTGATGCTGATTTTCCATTTATGACAGTCATAAAAGTCTCCTTTTAAGCTGAATTTATTTAAGTAAAAAAGGAAAGATGCTTTGAAAATAAATATTAAGTAAATAATAGTGCTGGTGATACAGGGATCTGTGGAAATGGTGAAGGAGATGCCCAAAAGGCTGGATTCAGGAGACCCCCTTCTGGGCTGCCCTTTGCTCCCGGAGTCTCCCCTGACTCTGCAGCCCCTGTCAGCCTTCCAGTCCAGGCGAGTGGTCCCCTCCTCCTGAGAGCCTTCCCTGACTCCCCAGCATCAACACAAACTAGCACCTCCTTCCAGGGCTCCTGTGTGCACTTTGCCCAGCTCACTCCCTGGTGGGGTGTGACTCATGACCATCAGAGCAGTGCTCACCTTAAACAACTATGCAAGGTGGTTCAGACTCAGTCCAATCCAGGGCTGGCACAACAGTCTCTGGAGTGTATGTCTGTCCCTCCTGTGGACTGTGGGCTCCCTGAGGGATGGAGCCTGCTCCAAAACATCTTGGGAAGCCCTCCACAGGGCCTAGCTGAAGGTGGGGGCCCTTAAGGGTGGGTCATTTTCATTTGCTTGAGGGGAGGACTTGAGCTACTGTTGCATGCCGCTAAGGCCTGTACTGTCCACCTTTCACTCGGAGGAGAGCTTGCTCACTTTTGCTTGCCTGTTTAAATGACTGCCTTCTTGCTGCAGGCAGCCTGTCAGGGGCCACAGGGTGCCCTGGAAGACACAGAGCCTCAGGAGCCCCCTGGCCCAGCCCTGGGCAGTGCCTGCACCTTCTCCGGGAGGAGAGGGCTCTGGCTGTGGCCTTAGGGGTCCCTTAGCTGCGAGAGTCTTCTCCATCCCTGAGGGGCTTTCTCCCTCCATTTTATCTGGTTTTCCTTTAGGGAGGGTTGATGCCTCCTGATTTTAGGAGCCAGGTGAGAAAGCCACGGAGCTGGAGCTTCATTAGGTCCTCCTCCTGCAGCCCTGACCCTGGGAGAACCACTCTTCCCTGCCTTCCTGACCCTGAGTCACACCCCTATGGCCCAGCACCCAGCTGAGCTGAGCATAGAGCAGGAAAAGCCCTACAGAGAATCAGACTTCTCAGAGCTGAAAAGGAGACAAGACTCCAGCTCTGGTTGGGGATTTCTTTCGGTCATTTCTGGGGCTTTGATCTGACCTTGTCCCTTCAACGCTGTGTGACCTCAGGCACTGACGCTCCGTCTCTGAGCAGCAGTGCTCCCACTGGGAATGGGACTGATTAGAGCCCAACCTTGTCATGTTTTTCCAGAATGAAGTAGGGTCCTGTGTACAGTGCCTGGCATACAGGAGTGGTTTTCTGCCTGTCACCCGCTGGAGGAGGATGGGGCAAGGCTGCAGGGGACTGGGCCACCCCCTCTAGACTTTAGACTCACTGCAGCAATGGTGCCAGCAGAAGGTGGGCAGAGTTGGACTATGCAGTCCTGAGCCCTGAGTTCAGATCCCAGCGGCTGCCCCTGACTTTCTGTGTGACCTTGTGACATGCCTCCATGAACTGCAGTTGCCGTGGTCTGCAGAATCACTGTGAGGATTACACTGACCAGGCCTTTGTGGCATGCAGGGGCCTCCAATCCAAAAGAGGACACAGCAGAGCTGTGTAGCAGAGCTACACAGCCATGGTCCTGCTGGCACTGTGGCCTCTGTATGTCGTCCTGGTTCATTCCTGATTGCCTTCCACAAGAGGACTTCATGGGCCATCTGCCATCTCTGAGCCTCATGGCTCTGTTCTTTATCATTTCTAACTGAAATCCTCTGGGTTCAGGCCTGACCTTCCTTTCTCATTTCATTCCTTCCTTTATTCATGCATGCATTCATTCAGTACATGCTGATCCCCGGGGTGCAGCCCTGGGCAGCTCCCAGAGACACCAGTGTGAGGACTCAGGACCCTCAGGGAACCAAGGAGGGCTTCCAGCCCGGCCTGGGGAGCAGGGGCCTGTGCAGAGGACCACTGTGCGGGCCACCTGGGCCAGGATGTCAGAAACTGTGTGCTGGCCGGGCACAAGGGGGAACTCATGTAAATAGCCAGAGGGGTCATAGATGGCATTTGGGCAGAGCCAGAGCCTGTGAGCCCAACTGTGACCCTGAGGGCTGGCAGCTTCTCAGGCGGGTCCCAGTATGGAAGGCTGTGGAAGCCCCAGCAGCCTGGGGCAGGGGAACTGGGAGTGTCCTATGCTGCCACTAGGCTCCTGCCCATGTCTGTGTGGGACCAGTGGTGTCTCTGAGCTCCTGCTCTGTGCCTGGCATTGTCCTAGCTGTTGAGATACAGCAGCACCAGACTGCAGTCCCTGCCTGTAAGGAGCTCATGCTCCAGGTGCAGGACTGACAGGAAGTGAGAGAAGTGAGGAAAAATGTAACATATTAGGAGGAGTAGTCAGAAACACCATGAAGCAGGGAAAAGCGGGCTGGAAGAGGGGCTCGGGGGAGGCTCCCTGAGGAAGTGGTGCAGGAACAAAGGCGTGAAAGGGGTACGGAGTGAGCTATGGAGATGGGGAGGACACAAATCCAGGAAACGTGTGCTGTGTGGAAACCACTGCTGTCAAATGGGAGCCATGGAGTGAAATATGTACAACCACAAAGTTACCATTTGGTGGCATTAAGCGCATTCAGGTCACTGTGCAGCCATCACCACCATCTAGCTCCAGAAAAAAAAAATTTTTGTCTCATGGTACTAGAAATTGAACCCAGGGAGCTGTGGGGTACCCTAATCCTTTTTACTTTTTATTGTGAGACCGGGTCTCACTAAGTTGCCGAGTCTGCCCTTGAACTTGCAATCCTCCTGCTTCAGCCTCCATAGTAGCTGGGATTACAGGCATACACCACCGCACCCAGTTTTCAGAAACTTTCTATCCCCTGGCACAGAGACTTGGCCCCTTGCAAGGGTGATTGTCCACTACCCACTCCCCAGCCCCTGGCACCCACCCTCCTCTCTGAATTGCACTGTTCTGGGGACCTGGCACAAAAGGAATCACACCACATTTGTCTTTTTGTGACTGCTGTGGGTGACTTAGCCCGATGTCCTCAAGGCTCATCCAGTGTGGCTTCTATCAGAAAGTCCTTCCTTTCTCAGGCTGCATAATCATCCTTTACATGGGTGGACTGTATTCTGTGTCCATTCATCACTAGAGGTTTTGGAACACAGAGTGTCACAGTGTGACCTAGCCAGAGATGGGGCCTGGGCTGAGGGGTGACTGAGGAGCCAGCAGGGCACCTCACTTTGTCTGAGTTTCCTGGGCAGATCTGTCCTTAACCCCCACCCTGTCCCTGAGGGGAGCCCGTTCTCCTCCAGCAGAGCCGGCTGGCTGAGCTAGGGGACATTCTCCGAAGGCTTGCTGGAGGAGGCAGCCTCCCACCAGACTGGAGGGCCTGGGAGAGGTATGCAGGGGGAGGAGGGAGATTGGGGGTGCACCAGAGGGTCTAGAGTGGGGCATGTGGGTTTAGCAATGAGCGAGTTGGGGGAACCTGGGCTGCAGCTGCCTTTGGTGGACAAACCTCAGGCCCAAAGGAGCCCAGCAGCTTCTGGGAGGCAGAGAGAAGCTGGAGAGGCAGACGGGACTGAAGGGTGAGAGGGCCCGGGGCCCAGTGCTGGTGAGATGCAGATGCTTCGTCCACTGTGTGTTCTCATGAGACACCTGGAAGGATCTTTAAAGATATTTCTGGAGGGCCCGGGATTTCACTCAATGGCCCTGTGCCTGCCTGGCAAGTGCAAGGTCCTGAGTTTGATTCCCAGTACTGGAGGGAAAAAAAAGATTTTTCTGGAGGTGTTGGGAGTTTGGAGGAAGAAGCCAAGGGAAGAGAGTGCCATTTATTGAGCCCTACTGTGCACCAGGAAGGAGGCGTAGGTAGCCTGTGTTCTGTCATCAGTCTGCTCTTTCTGCCCCTTTTCAGGTAAAGAAACAGGCTCAGAGAGGCAAAGGGGCTTGCCCAGGACACACAGATACAGCCCCACCACGAAACCAAGCCCTGGCTCACCCAGGCCCACAGAAGCAGTGCCTGCAGCCAATGTCCCCAGTACCGGCCCAGGGTTAATGAGTGCATCGCTCCCCCGATCAGGAGCGGAGAGGAAGAAGATGCTGCACTCAGTCATGGCTCTTCTGCTCTTCCTGCAGAATCCCATTTTGTGGGCTCTGGTTTTGTCTCCCTAGAGAGCCTGGCCCAGCTTGGGCCCTGGGGCTGAAGAACACATTTCCCTCTTTCTCCCAAATCTAGAATTATTCTGGGCCCCTGGGGATGGCCGTGGAGTCACCTGTGATGGAGGAAGCCAAAGAGGAGTGATAGCGCCTTTGTCCCCAGCTCAGCTGTGGTGCTAATGTGGGGCTAGGGATCCTGAGGCTGCCTTGAAGGAGTCAGGGTGGGGGCTGGGGAGGAGGCTGCCTGAGGATGATGTAGAAGTTGCAGACTTCCACTGTAAGGTCCCCTAGAACTGGCTGTGGTTTCATCATTGACTCAGTTTGGCTTCAGCAAGTCACCATCTCTCTGAGTCTCAGCCTGTCCATCTGAAAAATGAGGAAAATGAGGGTCATGCCCACCCCACGACATCTTGAGAAAGTCTATGCTAAGAGCTTGGCACGCAGCCGAAACAAGTTGTCTTTATTTCTCAGACTTCAGAGATTGTTATTATTTCATCATCATCACCGTCAGCAGAACACCATGGATCACCCCCTAGGATCCGGTGCTGAGGTCCTGACAGAGTTAGGGGAGGGAGGAGCCTCTTGCCCACACTCTGTGAAGGTGAGAGGGCCTGAGCTCCTCATCTCTGGTGGTGTGCAAATGGGAGGCTGGAGGGTGGAGCCGGAGGCTGAACTTTACCTGAAAATTCAGCGCAAAGCCTGAGGAGCTGACAGGCCCATGGGTCCTGGACAAGGCTGCTGTCAGAGCTGGGTTCCGAATGCAGCTCATGTGAGTCTGGGGAAGAAGCACGAGGACAGAGTTCTTGGGATCCTGAGGGGGTCTCCCCCACCTCATCCCACCTGGCTGGGTCTGGGGACTGAGGTACCTTGGAACCAGAGCCCACTATGGCCTCACTCACAGCAAACCCCTTTCCCCAAGCCCTTAATGCCTGGTTCTCTGTTCTCCCACCCAAACCATTGCCCTCCTGCTCCCCGCCCCTACTGGGGCTGACCTGGGCTTCAAGGAAGCCTGCCTTGATTGCCTCTGGGCTGTGAGGTACCCCCTGGCTGCCCTGGCCTGTGCACTTGGGAACCAGACCCCCACCCCCACAGGAGCCTGCTAGGTGGGTGTAGGGACTGCTCCTCCTTAGAAAGGGCTCTGCATGCAGGAAGAGCCTGAAGGCTCCGGCAGAGTGTGGACTTGGGAGCCAGGGAGGCCTGGGTTCATATCCCAGCTCTGCTATGTGGCCATGGGAGGGCTGTTCCCCAGCTAGGCCTGGCTGCCTCCTCCTAGCTGTGAGGACTGGCAAGGAGTGGGCCCCTCAGGCTGACACAGGTCACTGCCTGCTAGGTCACAGTCTGCACAGGCAGCATTACATTACTGAGATGGGCTATGAGCATGTAAAATGTGCTCTGATTTCCATGGTTTAGCACAAAAAAGGAATGTAAAATGACTCACTAGTAATTTTATTACATGTTAAAATAATAATTGCTTGATATCTTGGGTTAAATAAAATACATTATTAAAATTAATTTCACATTAAAATTTTTTTTCCACCTGGCTACTAGAAACTGGAATATTCCATGTGTGTTTTATGATGTGGTTCCATTCTGAGTCTGCCGGGCAGCACCATCCTGCATGGCCATCCCTGAGGCTCACATGGGGGGGGGCAGCTGTGCTCTGCCACCCCTGGTGCTGGGCTGTTCTTCAAGGGGAACTCAGAACCCCACCTGCCTCCTGCTGCCCCCTGCCATTGTGCGAACCAAACCAGATCCAGCCCTCTCTGAGCCTTGCTTTCTACCATGGGCAGAAGATTTGGTGGACCCAGGCGGGGTTTTCAGCCAGTTTTGGGGGGGCTGTGGGGAGGGGAAATTGAGGCCCGGTTCATCCCTGGGGTCACTCTGGGAGCTTCCATGAAAGGACAGCCCATCTCTGCTCCTCTTTCCACCCTTGAGACCCATGCAGAAGATTTGCCTCCCTCTGTCTCTGAGTCTCACCTGGTTGCCAGAAGTGCTATAACTGTCCCTAAGGCCTGGCTGAGGGCTGCCTCAGCCCTGCCCAGCTCTGCCACCCTGGGTGGAACAAGTCCCCCTGAATAGCTCTGTGGCGGGGGGGCGGGGGGTGATGGTGGCACTTTCTGATTTCTGTGGCTCAGGCAATGACACTTAGAGGAGGTCATAGCCATGTCCCTCTTATGGTCTCAGGGTCACACTTCTGGTCTTTGAAATCCACCTACAGGGCCTCACCACCCTCTTCCTCCCTTGTTTACAGGCAGGAGGCGCCTGGGTCCAGGCAGATTCTCTGTTCCAGGGCTGGGGCCAGCAGCTGGGGTCAGGGAAGGCTGGGCCTAGCCAAGGCTCTCAGGGCAGATCCAGCTCTGGTCCCTGCTCTGCCACTGCCCAGCTGTGTATTTGTTTATTCATCCATTCCAAAGTGTTTACTGAGCACCTACCATATGCCAATGAAGCAGGAAACTCTGGGGATACCCAAACAGAACACTTTGACACACGAAGAAGGAGGAAATCAGCCTTTAATGCCTGCAGCTCAGTGAGTGATTTCTGTCAGTCTCTAGAACACAGAATAGAAGTTTGTTCTTCTTTATATACCTCTTTTTACATCTACGAGGCTTACTTTCATTGGAGTTTCCCTGGGAATATAGCAAGCAGGATTTACACAAAGCCAAGGGAGGGGGTGCAAAGAGTTCTGGCAGGACTTTCTGTGTCCATTAAGCTCCTTTGGTGATAGATTACAAAAGTTGTCATGGTTACTCGGGTACATTCAATAAAGAGCATTGCTACTTAGTTAACCCATAGTTGCCTAATAACACAGTTAACCCATAGTTGCCCAATTCCATACGAGGGGTGGTCTCTCTCACCAGTACTTTTCTTGTTTTGAGCAATTGAATAAGACAGCACAGTTGCTGCCTCTTGGAAAAAGGACAGGTAACCAGCATAAATAAAGTCAGCATATTAGCTGTGCTGGCTAGCACAGTAGCCATTACCTGGGAGTGGCCGTTTATATTTACATTTCAATGAGTAAAAATTAAATAAAATGTAAAATTCAGGTCCTCAGTCAAACCAGTCCTATTTCAGGTGCTCAGTAGGTTTATGTGGCTGATGGCTACTGTATTTGCTCAGACACAAAACATTTCCTTCCTGGTAGAAAGTTCTGTTGGCCAGCACAGGGTGTTCCAAGGGAAGGGTGATTTGAACCACTGGGTTGGAGCTGGAGATGCTTTTTTTTTTTTAAACTGGGGATTGAACCTAGGTTTTTTTTTGTACTGGGGATCAAACTCAAGACCTTGTACTTTCCAGGCAGGTGCTGTGCTGCTGAGCTGAATCCCTGGCTCTGAACTTAAGGTTTTAACATTGAGTTATATCCCCAGCCATTCTTAAAATTTTTTAAAATTTTGAGACCAGGCCTCACTATGTCACGATGTAGCCCAGGCTGGCCCTGAACTTGCAGTCCTCCTACCTCAGCTTCCCAGAGTGCTGGGATTACAGGCCTGTGCCACTACGAACAGCCTAGAGACGCAATTTTAAATGAAGTGGTCAGGGCAGACTCTCCTGAGGAGGTGATACCTGAGTAGAGTTCTGAACAGAGGAAGGAAGGAGTCATATGAGAATCTGGGGGAAGAGTGTCCCAGGCAGAGAGATCAGCAAGGACAAAGATCCTGAGGTCAGATCCTAATCAGAATGTTCAAGAAGCAGCAAAGAAGCCATTGTGGTGAGAAGACAATGAGCAAGGACTTGAGTAGAAACCCACACCAGAGGGAGCAGCCCGTGCAAGGCTCTGGGCTCTTACCTGGTAAGAGGGTGCCACGGAGAGTTGTGAGTATGAGGGGACAGGGATGATGGTGTTTGGCCAAAACGACCGGCTGCTGTGTTAAAAACACAAAGTCACAGGAGGAGCAGAAGCAGGAGGAGGTCACTGAGAGCCTCGCCTGGTGGCTTGGCCCAGCAGAGGAGGGGAGGGTGGAGTCTGCAGAGATTGACCCTGCAGAATCCACAGGGTCTCCTAAGACAGAGGGGACGCAGGAGGGAGCCGGAGTGGCTGGGGCTGTGACGGTGAGGGCTCCTGGGTAAGCTGCTGTCGCTGAAGGGCCAGGTTTGCCTCCTGCACCAGGGGTGGAGGACAGTCCAGGTTTCAGGTCGACCATGTGGGAAGGCCTCACAGCCCTGGCCTGCAGTCAGTCATGCAAGCAGCCTTCATTCCTGCTACTCAGGCTTTGGTGAGCCAAGAGTGGCCAGTCCTTCCCCGGTGAGGGGACACAGACCCTTTTGTAAATCTTGACATTGACAGTCGGGGTGCATCAGGCTCTCTCTTGATCCAGAAGATCCAGTGAAGCCCCACACTTGGAAGCCCTGTGTGCAGCGCAGGAAATAAGCTTCCGATGCCGGTATTCCTCAGTTCCCATCACACAAAGCTCCCACTGTCTTGGGGAGGGGAACAAGGCAGGTGGCCCTGAGCAGGGATTTAAATCCGGGACCCCTACCTCCCAGCCCAGGGCTCCCCTCTTTCTTGGAGGGGACAGAAAGGAACAGGAGAGTGAGAGCCTCCGGGATTGGGCTTTGTCATGTCTGTCCCTGTGGGCTTGGGGAGCCTGGCGGGCTGCAGCAGCAAGGGGGGAGGGGGCTGACAGACATCACATTCCTGGGTGACCTGCACATTGCCAGGCATCTTTCCAGGACGAGATAATCTCCCCTGAGAAGAGGAAAGAATTCTAATTACTTCTCAGGAAGGTATTTGTTTGGGGAGACAGAGAGACTGAGCATATGGTGGGAGGGGCAGTGACCCGCCCCCCCCAGCAGCGGCTCTCGGTTACCAGGCAGCATGGTGGGGGGCCTGCTAGATCAGGGAATTGGAGGGGCTGGACCCTGCAGGGGAACGGGATGAGATTGCTCCCAAACACGTGCGTGCCCTGAAGAAGAGAACCTTCAATAAGCCTGGGCAGCCCACGTGGACACCCCTGTGTGGCCAGGGAGAAGTCTGGGGAGGCCAGGGTGGATTTGCTTTTACGAAGATAGCGCTGGCTGCCCTATACTGGACCAGGAGCAACCCTGGGTGGGGGTGTGTGGCAGTGACAGGGACAATCGGAATGTGCTGATGAGACGCAGCGGCCTCCAACCTCCTGGCCTCCTTGCTCACCACTTCCGACCCAGCCCACCTCTTGTCTGTCCCCTGTGCCGCCTCCCAGGGCTCCGGAACAGAGGCCCAGCTGATGGCCAGGCGTCCAGGGAGACCCGTTCCTTCCTCCCATCTCCCGCCGGCCTTGCCCACCTGGAGCCAAGAACAGCCGTCCCCGCCTACTCTTGCTTTTCTGCCTGCCGATCCGGCCCCTGCCCCTCGCTGCTGTGTCCTAGCCCCCAAGTCACCCCTGTTTCTGCGCAGCCCTGTTCACAGAGACGCCCCACGACATGACGGCGCGGACGGGCGAGGACGTGGAGATGGCCTGCTCCTTCCGCGGCAGCGGCTCCCCTTCCTACTCGCTGGAGATTCAGTGGTGGTACGTGCGGAGCCACCGGGACTGGGCCGACAAGCAGGCATGGGCCTCCAACCAGGTACCGTGTTCCGGAGTGGTGGCATGGGCGGCGCAGCCCCGCTTTCCCTCAGAGCTGTTCCTTTTTCCGCGGGTGGGGTAGATGATGCCCAGATGGAGGCAGAGCCAGGCTGAGCCCCTGAGACACCACAGCAGGAGGGCCCTCCCCTCGGGGAAACGGACAGAAGCTGGCTCTGGATTATGAGGCAAAGTGGGTCTCATAGCTCACATTCCCCCACTTCTCCAGGCCATCGCGGGAGTGTTTTGTAAATGGCTCGGCACACACCGGGTGTCACTATTGCTGAGTTCATCCTCAAGTTCATTCCCCCGTGTACATGCAGGCAGGCTCCCAGCATCCCCAGTCTTACACACACACACACACACACACACACACACACACACAGATCTACACCCCCTAGAGCAGATGCTGGGGCCCTGCTTCCTGCCCTACCACCAGCCCCACTGCCAACTGTCAACTCTTGCAACTCTGCCCAAAGGCTACCCCTGGGCAGAGCCTGTTGGGCAAGGCAGTTAGGGCTGGGCAGCTGAAGAGCATCCTACAGGTTCTCCCGGGGTGCTGCTCCCCGATCAACTTCCTTCCCTTTCTATCTCACTTACCTTCTCCCCTGCTGGGGCTTCCTGAGGTCACCTCCCAAATAAGCCACTTGTGCTTTCATCTTTGTCCTCAGGTCTGCTGTTGGGGGGCACCATCTGAGACACTTGCTCATGTGTCTACACAAATGGGTGTGCAAATGCACACATCCGCATGTGAACAAACACATGTGCACACCCTCACATCCACACAGCAGCGAGCTACATGTTCCCCAGGGCTCATAAAAGAGCCGCTAACATATGCACAAGGACAGGTCGCACTCTGTTCTGCTCCTGGGGGTGTCAAGTCCCCAATGTGTCAGCCTGCCACACGTAGACGAAAAGGACTTTGGCCAGGGAAAGCCCCTAGGAAAGGAGGGGCAGATGGCTGCAGATGGAAGCCCCCCGGGCCAGCTTTCAGGGACTCAAGCAGCAGCATGTGCTACGAATGAACGATCACAAATCATGCGGGGAACAGATACTCCTGCTGACTGCTGGTCGGACGCTGCCTTTCTGGCCTGCTCACTCACGCCCTGCTGATACTCCGTGCCGGTCGAACCCAGATGCATAGCACGGGGGCGGTCAGTTTCCCGTGCGCCGCCTTCGTCTTTTGTCTGACCCCTCCCCCACACCCTGAGCGGACAGAGAGCCAGGGGACCCCAACTCCAGACCCCGCAGATTCCAAGCATCTCCTGCTATAGCTGGAATCTTTTTTTAAAATAATTTTTATTTTGTTGTGCTCACTTCGGCAGCACATATACTAAAATTTTTTAATAACACACGTTAATTTACATGTTAATGGGATTAGTGTGATTTTTCCACACACGCACACAGCATGCCCTGATCAAATCCAGCCTCCCTTCTATCCGCAGTCTCATTGTCCCCTGAGTCCCGTCCTGCGGGCTGTCTCCCCCACCTCCACCCGTGCTAAGGCCTTGTCTCTGCTCTCTGTCCCTCCCCCTCCAACAGCTGAAAGCCTCGCAGCAGGAAGACGCAGGGAAGGACGCCACCAAAATAAGTGTGAGTTCTGATAATGACTTCTCGCAAAGGCTCTAATAGAGGAAGTCGCTGTACCTTTAAAAAAAACACAGGTTTTCTGGGTCCATGTCAGCAAGGGAGCTTGGGCAAGAAGATGGAGAAGAAAAAGAGAAAGGGGATGTATAGCCCTGCTCTATGTTTTAAAAGCCAGAGCTTTTTCAAGTTCATTGAATGACAGGCACAAAAAAATGACAAGAAGAGAGAGGATGCATTCTCTCCTGTCGGGGCCAAGGCTGTGTGCGCTCTATGCTGCCTGCCTGTCTCAGCAGCATTTTTATTTGAGGAAACAACAAGGTCTAATCACTGAGTGGGCTTCCCCCTCCCCCATCATGTCTGACAGCGACAGCATCTCACTGTCCCTGAGTCCCTTGGGTGATCTGGCTTCTGGGAATGGGACTCTACGACTGGCCAGACTTCTTATGCAGTGGCTCATTTTATTGTAGCCACACTCTATAGGAAAGGGCAAGTATTCACCCATTTTACAGGTGAGGACAGTCGAGGCTGGGAGGG